ACAGCCACAACATGATCTCCCAACTTCTATACTCAATGCACTGACCAATAAAGGCAAGCATACTAAGTGCCTTCTTCACTATCCTATCTACCTGCGACTACTTTCAGGGAACTATGTTACTGCACTCCTAAGTCTCTTTGTTCAGCAACACTCCCCAGGACCTTACCATTAAGTGTATAAGTCCTGCCCTGATTTGCCTTTCCAAAATGCAGCACTTCACATTTATCTAAAATAAACTCCATCTGCCACTCCTCAGCCCATTGGCTCATCTGATGAAGATCCCGTTAGACTCTGAGGTAACCTTCTTTGCTGTCCACTATACTACCAATTTTGGTGTCATCTACAAACTTACTAACCATACCTCCTATGTTCACATCCAAATCATTTATATAAATGACAAAAAGCAGTGGACCCAGCACTTCCTTCATACATCCTTTGTATCTCCCTTTATTCATAACCCCTGGCTCCAGTTCATCTCCAACTAGACTTTCCTACTACTTGGATGAACAACAGTTATAAACAGCACTCAACAATAACTGCTGGTGATTTGCTTTTTCCAACAGCCTTGTTTTTTTTCAAAATGTCATTTTCCCATTTCAGCCCGCAACCAAAATACAGAAAAATTAAGAGGATACAGCCCTTACAAGTTACACGATCATATTACTCAGTTAATTGTTCACAGATGATAATGTAAAGAATTTCTTCATTCTGATTGCCACATTGGTTCAGTAATTTTGATTTTGTAATGTTGATGTTGTCAGGTAAGGTGTAAATGGATCTGTGAAAGTACTGGCAGAGAAAATTCTACTTGAATAAAAAATGATGTGGAGGTGCCAGTGTTGGACTGGGATGGATAGGGTCAGAAATCACACAACACCAAGTAATGGTCCATTCACCTGATGAAGGAGCAGCACTCTGAAAGCTTGTGATTTCAAATAAACCTGCTGGACTATAACCTGGTGTCATGTGACTTCTGACCTTGAATAAAAAATAGCATTGAATTAATTTGAATTAGCTTTATTGTCACATGGACTCAGATGAGTACAATGAAAAGTTTACAAGTTATCGCTTATGGCACCATCTTAGGTACAAAGGTACCTAGGTACAGATTCTTCAGTGCAAGTTCTTCGGAAAAAAAAATAGAAAATAAAGAAATAGAAAGTCCAGCATTGCAAATTGTAGGAATAAATTAGAAAATAGACAAAATAAAAAGTTCAGAACAATGGTCCTTCCAATCCAATCCACGCTAGCACCTAGCCTCCAGATCACACCGTGCTTCACTTTGAGGTTCTTGAGGCCCAGAGACTGCTCTGGAATAACCTTGAGACTGGAAGTCCATCTGAGGCCCTTGGGCCAAAAGACCGCCATGGGCACCGAAGGACCATCACACCAGGCTGAAAGACCACCACTCCGGGACAAAAGACCAGACGGTAACAGTTGTTTGTAACTCACCTTGTTTTTACGGAATATCCAAGCTAATGCCAATGTTGCAAATGAAAGCAATACACAATCATAAATAAAATTTGGAGAAATGCTAACATCTTTTGAGATATATGCTTAGCTATTCCATTGGACTTAGTGTCTATTTACCGAAATGTATAGAGCACACACTTTCGTTTTAGTAGTGAGTAGTTGATTAATTTAAGTGCACAGTCCTCATTCACAGGAACACAGGGGCCTATCTGGCACAGCATTTTCGTGTAACTGTGCAATCATGCAGCTAAGAAGCAACATTGTTTACAGGGTTCTTAGCAGTTCTGTAACAATAATTGACTAATATAATCAAGGTAGGTATTCTTTTTAGCTGTCAGGGAATTAAAAGATATGGGGAGTAGGCAGAAAAGTGAGAAGATCAGCCATCATCATATTATGGGCTAGGCTTGAGGAGTCACATATTCTCTCCTGCCGCTACTCGTGTTCTTAGTTTCTTTTCCTTATATTTACGTAAAGAATAACAATGAGGCCATGTGTCCTAATGTGTATCATCTGCAATGCTAAGATAATATTTAGTTATCCTTTACCTAGTAAGGATTGCCATTTTTGCTGCAAAAATAATTGTGAATCTAATTTCAAAACCGCAACTTTTGGTGAACAAATATGTATTATTATACAGAAAATCCAAAAATGGTTATCAAAGATAATTTCAGGGAATTCTTTCATGACATGTAGCCAATGCTAACAAGGCCAGAATTTATTGTCCAATCCCAATTGCTGTTGAGTCCTGAAGAAGGGTAATACCTGAAACGTTGACTGCTCGTTTCCTCCAGATGCTGCCTGGCTTGCTGTGTTCTTCCAGCCTCCTGTTTGTCTCTCTGTTGTTGAACTGAATGGGTTGTTAATCCATTCCAGAGGACAGTTAAGAATCAATCACATTGCTGTAGATCAGGAATTCCTTTAGGCCAAACCAAATAAGAATTCAAATTTCATCATCTGTCATGGTAGGATTTGAACCTACATCCCTAGAGCAACCAGTGATATAATAATGCCATCATTTTCCTATTTTGGAGAAAAGAAAACAAAACAAGTGAAATACACAATAAATGACAGGATACTGAGAAGCGTCAGGAAAGGGGTTCTTGAAATGCACTGATTCCTAAAGCTAGCAGGATATTTAAACAAGGTGGTTAAGAAGTGTTGCAATCTCTGCAGATTGTAATTTATTTCAAAAGGAAATTTGAATTTCTGGTGACTGACTCAAAGAATCACTTGACAATGTTTCACATTTTAAAATTTATTGTAACAAACAAACTAAAACCAACATGGACTAAGGTTGTTTAGTAGGCAATTAATATACAAAATTCTGGAAAAGATTTGCCCTCAACTTCTAAATACAACTAAATATTCCACACCACCCTTGAGTATTGCATTGCACTCCCCGCAAATTGTAATCTTTACAGGAGCCATTCCAAAGTTACTCTCAACTTTTAACAAGCTCACCTCTCCCTATTTCGCTGAGTTGTAAGATCCTGTGTCCATCAAAACTCAGAATGATGTTCTGCCAAGGATTTGAGGACATAGAGTCCAAACTGATATGTAGAACCTTTGGATTTTTACGTTCTCCATGTGTCATTATCAAAGGGTCAAACAGATTAGCAAATTAAGCATATGGTTTAAAAAGTGATGTGGGAGTAAGGAGTTTTAACTCATAGGTCACTGGCACTAGTATTAATGGAATGAGGGAGCTGTTCCACTGGAATGGGCTCCACTTACATCAGGCAGGGATCAATGTCTTTGTGAACCATGTAACCGAGGCTGCAGACAGATTTAAACCAAAAAAGAGAGTCCAAATGAAGGGTGATTGAAAAATCCAATGAGAAAAGATGAGAAAATATAGAGAATTGCAGGAATTTACGTAAAGATTGGGGCAGGTAGGAACAGAATATTTAGAATGTTAACAGTGCATGAGTGAAGAAGGTCCTTGCAAATTATGGTAATAAATCAATACAACAAAGGTTATTTACTCAAATGCCCAAAGAATTCACAAAGACAGATAAACGAATCACACAAATATATCTAATTGTCATTATAAAAAGGTTACAAGCTGACCAAGATTGGAAAATAAATATTCCATATTACACAACATTTTGGAAACACAAACAGAATGGAAGAGAGGGAGGAGTATCCTTGATAGTAAATGATGACATGAGGACAGTAGTAAGAAATGATCTTAGTTCAGATGTTTGGGAAATACAATTTGTATGTGTGGAGATTACAAATAGCAAGGGTCAGAGAATGCTGTGGGTGTATAATATCAATGTAATGTAGTAATCATGAATTTGATTCTTCAATTGTTCCATCACAACTGTTTTAAACTGAACAATATAGCAAACTTTAGCTTCATTGGTACTGAACTTTGAACTGAACTTTAGATTTATGCATTTGGTTTTTAAGATGATATAACCTGACCACACTTCAAACAACAGAAATATCAAATAAATTTGAATGAAACTTTTTATGCACAAATAATGTCAAGATGCATTTGCCATTTGCTTAGTTTTGCAAATTTTATTTTGTACTGTATGATGAAATGCCGTGTACAGGTTATAAATTGAGAGGAATTATTACATTTCTACATGTACCATGTGTCATATAGCTATTTTGTCATCATATGTTATTTAAGCTTCAATCTCTTGCTATTTTCTGTCCACTGGGACTAGCATTCAATAATCTAACTGTAAGGTGTATGCCATGTACAATCACAAACTTACAAAAGCGAAGTAAAACTTTAACTTAACTTTCTTCTATTTGTATATTTTTGATAGACGTTTATACAACATAAATATTTACTTAGAAATCAATAGCTTTTTAAAGAAAATTACGTTACCTATTAGTTCTTGTATTAGAACATGGAAATTATTTTCTCTGCGCCCAAATTTCCATTGTCATTATCAGTGACTTTATAAAGTGTCTTGGAAATGTTGTTCGACTTTGGGGTAAGTTGGCTAAATTGAAAGCATGTCATTTAAGGTGTACATTAAACCACACATAAGCAATGTACTGTATACACGAATACGGGCAGACATTTGTAACTTTTTCTACAAAATTCTGTCTTAACGTACAGCATATGAGGAATCAAAAAATCTTCTGGCATTCAATTACAAAACAGAAGTGAGCAATTTTATTCTCTGAAAAGCTGTAATTACAACCTTCATTAAAACCATAAAGCAAAAGAGAAAAATAGACTAATGAGATTTGTCTAAAAAAAGGTTGGCGCAATATTGATGTTTCGCCGCTAGTGGCCACCTAGCACTTTTAGCAAATACTCTAGCAACCAAGGACAGAATGCCACTCCAACACAATATTCTTTTCAACTCACTCCTTAAAGCTATGATTAGATTCTACCTGTCCGATGTGAGCTTCACAGCCCGAGATATAGCTGTTTGTATGGATTAATGAAGAAAATACTATCTAATATTTCTCTGTACCAACCGTTTAAAGCTGTAATTCTACTATAAACAGAAATCAAGCAGCGGATGTAGTTCAAATAGAAGAAAGTATTTACATCATGCGTATAATGCGCGTACGGAAAGGTTTTGGTCATCAATTCTCAGCGTACGTGGTTTAAATGGGTTCCCTCTTTCAGTGATATGACAAATCAATGATAATTCTTTAAAGTGTTCCATTATAATTATTGATTCAAGCCATTTGGTATAATCTGATTGTAATGGGTGCTCATTGTACATGTTTTGTTTTCTACCCAGCATCACCTGGCTGGACAGTTTCACAGTAACCCCTGTTTTTCCTGCATTGTGCCGCTATCCACAGAAGAGTACACAAACAGGTCAATGTGATTAATGAAATCATCAACAAGGGAGTCAACAAAACCTCTGGGCCCAGTTGCCAAGGTGAAGGAGTAGTGATGTTAGCAATGGTCTGATTCTTGTCAGAGGTCCCTTTGGTGGTGTTCCCCTGGTTCAGAGGGAGGATGTTAGAAGTCGGTGTAACATAAGCAGATCCTTGGGTATAGTAGTTGGCAGCTGGGAAGTGAGAGAGCTGGACCATTCCTTGCGTCATGATGCGAATGGCCACATCGCCTTCGACTAAGGCTGGAGCCTCTGACGGCTCAGGTGAGTAGGTTCGGCTCCTACTAGCACCACTTGAAATATTTTGAGAATCGTTGCTGGACACTAGATTGAATATGGAAGGAAGAGGTATCTGTGGTGGCAGTGACACAGACTTATTCCAGTTGTAAGTGGGAAGAGTGGCTTGTGATGGAAGGGAAATGTACCTGTTGTGGTGGCGTTGCTTCTCCAAACCGAGATATTCTGAATTATTAAATCTTGATGCGTTGGTTGAGAAACGAAAGCTTGGCTCTCTACCTTTAATACGGCGATTTCCAAAAATGAGCAAATCTGGATCCTGTCCTGTGGACGAATTAAGTGAAAACTGAGGCTCTCGAAATTGAAGCAAAATGTCATCATTTACTTAACAGCTTGAGACTGACAGTGAAAATCACGTTCTCCTTCAGGTGTCTCTGTGTTAAATTCTTACAGATGCTTCATTCGCCAAAGGAAGAACTTGAATTCATCCAGCATCATTTACATTCTTGAACCTCTTCAAAGCGCATTGCAAAGCGAATTACTTTGAAGTAAAGTCGCAGTTATGTTGATAGCAAATCTATTTCGGCATATGTTTATTGAAGCATGAATATTGGCGATTTGTAGCTAGATTACGCTGAAATAACTAACTGCTTTATTATTGGTTTTCAAATCATAATCAAACACTTGCAATAAAATATAAAAAACAACTGCATGGATATTATTAACCCATTCGCTTTTGAATGTCATGACGTGGTGTGTTTACCTCTTGTAACGTTAAAGAGTATAAAATCAATCTTCCTTCTCATTATGCAACTTTCCTGACTTGGGCAGTTGAGGTGAAAACAGTTGGAACGGCTCTGATCTTGAACAAGTTTGAAAACGGCTATGTTACAAGTATCTGTAATAAATGGAAAGCAAGGACGAATTACCTGGAAAAGTTATTCAGATATGGTGTCTAAGAGTTGCGGGGGGTGGGTGGGGGGAGGTGTTGCGCAGAGGGAGTGCTCTTACACGAGAGATCCCATACCCACTGATTAAAAAGATACAGGGGGACTCGCCAGCATTCTTTTTCCAGGCAACAGACAAGACTGCATTATCTGAATTGGAGAATGCAGAATAAGCGGTGCAGTATGCCTGCAGAAGACCAATAGAAAGTACATACGAGCTTCAGGATCATGTTATGCAGAAGCAATAAGCAGCGCAGTTATTGTTACCGGCTGAATGAAAGCAAGTAGAGTGGCATTTAGCATGCAGCAGAAAGGTCGTACCACACCTGGGCTGGGCTGGACTGCAGGAACATAACGATCATTGTATTGAAACAAAGTACAGTTTCATGAAACTTAAGCTTCACCCAAAATGACAGTCTTATCGATCAACAATGTTCTTAATTCTTTTAGTCAAATCTGCTCTTCAATGCAAATTCCAGCCTCGTTTTATATTATCTTTAGGAATCCATAAATTTGGAATCGAAACGTTTTGTTTAAAACTAATAAACCTCGTAAACAAGTAAAAAATGTTATAGCTGAGGTATTTGTTTTGATTGAGCGGTGATAAATCGTTAGGGAGGCCAATATCAACCGTCGTCTTGATCAGTTGTTTTTCTGACATCGGGTTACTCATTTGCGACCTTAATAATAACTGGCTTATCTCGAAGATAACACGGATTTTTTTCCTTCTGTATCCCTAGTGCAGGCATTTGCCTCCGACGCGCGTTGAGCGATTACAGACGACAAGCAACAATTATGTTATTCATAGTGAATATAGTTAAATCGGATTTGGATAATTAATTAATCATGAAAGGTTATCCTTGGCAGGATGGGTGGGAAGAGGAGAGATGATTTACTGCAAATTCCGGTCGGCTGCAGTTCTGAAGGCAGATTGGAGACTCTGTGAAACTCACCATTCCGCCTGAGGCAGCAAGTCCGGCTGCACTGCCGAGCCGTCTTCGCGTAGTAATAATTGACCAAATGGGCGCCTCTGCTCCTGGACAGAGGCACATCTATAAGTACCCCCGGAAGACGATGCATCCAGCAGTTTCTATAAAATACTGTAGGCGAACACCGAGAAGCTGATTTCTGGAAAACAGCAAAGAATATCAGCAAGGACAAGGTGAGAATCATAGTTTCAGATCTGACGGGGGCGAGCAATCTTCAGTGTCCGCGCTCTTGCAACAATATACTTATTAAGGCGAGATAGTGCTTCTGAGCCAGAATTGACCATGTCCAGTATGGCATTGCTTCAAGATTTTTTTAATGACAATGGGGAAAGTGGGAGTGGGTGTAGTCGCTGACATTTTGGACTGACGCTTCTTAATTATTATCCGATGTTTTCATTATCGGCAGGTGAGTTTCTGATCGTTCAAACAATCAATTTCCTGTCCCTATCTGGAATTCGTACAGAGTCGAGTTACTGGAAAGTAAGTTAGAGAATTTTACGCTTTGTAAGAGTTTAACATTGTACAGGGCTTAATTGCGTTTTAATAGTCATATTTAAGGTGACAATGAATCTAAATGTTACAAGAATGTGTGTTAAGTTTTTGTAAGTACAAGTACACTCGTCGCGAATCAAACAGGGAAAGAGATGTTCAGCTGGATTTTCACGAATGGCTGCACTACAGCCACATCTCTCTGTCGCCCTCCGGATCCTTTATATTGGCATCAGTTAGGGTTTACCAAGTTTCAACATGAATCCTGCCGAAGTAACTCTGACATCTTCCGTGGACCAGTGATTGGAAATCCTCTTATTATTTCGGGAATGAGCTTGTGGTGGACCTTTTCTCCCCCATTAATGGTTGTATTACTTACGACCATGAAATATAAAATTCGAAAATTAAATCTTGTATATCCGAGCAAGTTTATTGTTTTATGTAAGCAAGATTTTAGTGAGCTTTTTTAATATCAGTCATGCAAAACACTGAATATTTAATTCATCCCCACGAGGCTAACATTGTCTAATAAAGTCGAGGATAATCAGAGGGAAATATTCCCCCCATACCTCACCCCATGAGTACACCCACGGTACTGTGAGATCTCATTATTGGGAGAAAAAAGTCGACCGAGAATTGCGTAACATTCATTATCAAGGAAAACAATTCGTCCACACTTGGCAAAGTTGAAAGAAAACATTGTTCTCAAGGACAAGCTTAAGTTGTACATGATGTAGTTTAATTCTAAATAGAGACATCAGCACATTTTTGACACTGAATGTGCATTTCAGTCGTTGCAAAGAGTAACATTTCACCAACTCAGCCTTCGCATCTGCGTAATAGAAGTTTCTTGGGACAGTTCCGTATTGTACTATATAAACAGAAGTCCCTTGTTTTACAAACAGTGCTACTTTTGAGATAGCTCATTTAACTCATAAATTGAGGCAGTGATAGGATTTATCTGTAGCCAACAGAGAATGTCAGGACCACATATAAAGCAAGGTAAAGTGAATTGGTAATTCTGTTTGTTATTGCAACAGCATGTGCTTTTTTTTTGAGAAGGCCACTTCTCTGAGTTATACAAATGTGGGTTGGTGGTAAAGCTCCCTGTTACATTGACTTGATTTATGGCTGCATAACTAACTGTAATCTTGCTTTTATCCCTTTGCATAAATTTTATATTCCAGGTAATCTACAACAATTAATTAAGTTCAGAGTACGGTATAAATTGTGATTAATTTACTGCCTTTACTGTCATTACAATTTACTGTCATTACAATTAAACTGAGTTATTTTCATAACGTATTGTTGAAAGGACTCAGACCTCAAAAGTTAACCCTGTTTTCTCTACAGATGCTGCCACACCTATTGAGTATTTCCAGATTTTCTGTTCATATTTCAGGACATGACTGAATTGTGTAGTATATGAACTCTGTTGTTTGAGTTAAATTCACACCACAGTATTTGAACTGAATGTATTGTGTCTTATTTAATTCGCAAAAGACAATTGAAAATTTATAGAAACAACTCAACATAATTTCTGTCATTTTCTGGTGTTTGACCTTCTTCAGATAAGAGATATCCTCGGGGATAGATCACTACCCACATGGAGGACCCTGTCAATAGCAAATGCACCCAGATTATTTAATGCACAGCCAGTTGTAAATTAACTCCAATCTTTGCACAGCATCTTTTGTCTCCAGTGTGTCAGATCAGGAATACCCACTAGCAAACTTTGTTATTTTTCAATTACAATCAAAATTTAGTGCCAAATTAGGGTTCTTTTCAATAAATTCATATCCACTGACAACTAGACAATGATGCAAGATAATTTCAAATAATAACAATCAGCAGAGACAGACAAGACTCTAATCCCATTATTCTGGGTGGAGGACAAATTCATATTCAAGAACCAAAAGGATGTTTGCAAATGAAGCAGAGTAAAAAAGACCAACTGGTTGTACATGTTACAGCATGTGTGCATCGGCAACCCACTTTTCAAAACACTTATAACTGAGAGCTATCAAAAACAAAAGAAAAGCCTTGGGCTAATCTAGGAAATATTTTTAATAAATTTCTCAAAGAACTCTTCTCAAAAAGGCAATCAACCAATCTTCAACAACATGCAGTACACTTGACTTCAGTTCCAGATATGTCCTATTATTTCAGAATTTGGGGGTATTCTTTCTCACTCATAAGACAGTTTAAGATATTTTATATTTATTTAAATACAACTTCCTTTTGAAGACCTGTATTGAATCCACATTTAGTATATGGCGATCCATTCCAAGATCAATGTCTCATAGAATCCCTACAGGGCGGAAGCAGGCCATTCGGCTCATTGATTCCAAACTGACCATCCAAAGAGCATCCCACTCAGACCCACTCCCCTACCCTTATTCCTGTAACCCTGCATTTCCATCGGCTAATCCATCTAGTCTGCATATCCCTGGACACTACGGTCAATTTAGCATGGCCTATCCACCTAACCTGTACATCTTTGGAGTGTGGGATGAAATCAGAGCACCTGGGGGAAACCCACGCAGACACGGGGACAATATGCAAACCCCACACAGACTGTCACATGAGGGCGGAATCAAACTTGGGCCCCTGGCGCTGTGAGGCATCAGTGCCACCATGCCACCTGTCTCTGTAAAGTGAAGTACTTCTTGAGATCTAACCTATGTTTTCTTAGTTTGTACAAATGCCATTTAGATTTTCTCCACCCCCTTCAATTTCCAGTGTTTTTTTTATCAACTCCATTTCTCATTATCATGATTTCATTAGCATGATGTAGAATAGCATAATGTCATTGGATGACATATTTAAATGGAGTTATATCACAGTACAGAATTAACCCCTTCAAAATGCTCACAGATTGAATGCTTCAGATTCAACTGACAGATATCATCAAGCAAGTCAAGGGCACTAAGTCATGTAATATGACTATGTAATGTGACTATATGACTGTGTAATTGGATATAATCTGGGAAGACAATTTTTTTTGTATTCATTTGTGGGTTGTAGGTGTCACTGGCTGGCCAGCATTTCTTGCCCATCCCTAGTTTCCCTTGAGAAGGTGGTGGTGAGCTGCCTTCTTGAACTGCTGCAGTCCTCCTGCTGTGAGTTGACCCACAATGCTATTAGGGAGGGAATTCCAGGATTCTGAACCAATGACAGTGAAGGAATGGCAATATATTTCCAAATCAGGATGATGAGTGGCTTGGTGGGGAACTTGGAGGTGGTGGTGTTCCCATATGTCTGATGCCCTGGTCCTTCTAGATGGATTTGGAAGGTGTTGTCTCAGGGTCTTTGGTGAATTTCTGCAGTGCATCTTGTAGATAATACACACTGCTACTACTGAGCCTTGGTGGTGGAGGTAGTGGATGCTTGTGGATGTAGTGCCCATAAAATGGGCTGCTTTGTCCTGGATGGTGTCAAGCTTCTTAAGTGTTGTTGGCAAGTGGGGAGTATTCCATCACACTCCTGACTTGTGCCTTGTAGATGATGGACAGGCTTTGAAGAGTCAGGAGGTGAATTACTCATCACAGTATTCCTAGCTTCTGGCTTGCTCTTGTAGCCACTATGTTTATGTGGTGAGTCCAGTTGAGTTTCTGCTCAATGATAACCCCCAGGATGTTGATAGCAGGGGATTCAGTGATGGTAACACCATTGAATGTCAAGGGGTGGTGGTTAGATTGTCTGTTATTGGTGATGGTCATAGCCTGGCATTTGTGTGGCGTGAATGTCACTTGACTCTTGTCAGCCCAAGCCTGGATATCGTCCAGATCTTGTTGCATTTGAACATGGATTCTTCATTATCTGAGGAGTCACAAATGGTGCTGAACATTGTTCCATCATCAGTTCAACATCCTCACTTCTGACCTTATGATAGAAAGAAGGTCATTGATGAAGCAGCTAAAGATGGTTAGGCCTAGGACACTACCCTGAGGAACTGCTGCAGACATGTCCTGGAGCTGAGATGATTGACCTCCAACCACTACGATCATCTTCCTATGTGTCAGGTATGACTCCAACCCCAATACCCATTGATTCCAGTTTTGCTCAGGCTCCTTGATGCCACAGTCAGTCAAATGCAGCCTTGATATCAAGGGCTGTCACTCTCACCTCACCTCTGGATTTCAGCTGTTTTGTCCATGTTTGAACCAAGGCTGCAATGAGGTCAGGAGCTGAGTGGCCTTGGCGGAACCCAAACTGGGCATCGCTGAGCACTGACAATGGCATAATCGTAAAGTTACTGGTCTCGCAATGCAGAATCTCAGGCAATGCTCTAGGGATCTAAGTTCTATTCCCACCAAGGCAAGTGGTGAAATCTGAATTCAATAAAAAAAGTGAAAAGCTAACCTCAAGGCAATGATGTAACCATTGTTGGTTGTCATAAAACCTGCTATCCTTACTTGATCTGACCTTACCGTACTCAGACACGTAGTGGGATGGACTAGAAAGCCACTCAGTTGTATCAAAACACTTCAAAATCTAAGGAAAGGAATGTAAGCAGATGAACAGTTTGGTTTTGACCTAAGCACTAGAAATAATAATGGCAAGCTGCCTCACAGACTAGTCAAGCAACAGCCTGACATAGTCATATTAATGAATCACATGACTGTCCCAGAACCCATCATCACCATCACTGGGTATATTCTCACTGTGGGACAGGTCAATGAGAGGTGAGCGCACTGTGTTGTACAGTTGGGAAGGAGCTGGCCCCCTGAAATCTCATGGTATCAGGTCAAACATGGGCAATAAGACCCATGCTGTAAACTCTTGCTTATTA